GGGCTGGGCACTGCTGCTCCCATCGCCGCTATCTTCGAGTTGTCTTAACTTGATATGGTTTTTTTTATTTTCTGTGGTCATGGTGAAGAGATAGGTGTGTGTGTGGGGAGGCAAGTTCATTGTGTAAACTAGGGTCAAACCGACCACGTTCTTCCTGTGCCAGTCATCTCTAACAGATTTGGAACAAATCCGATGAAATTACTGATGGAAGTGGGCATCACTGTGAGCAGCCTGCCCTTTCAGAGAGTTGCACTGGGGGCCTGGTGGGGTTTGTCTCCGCTAGAAATGAGTTGTCTCTGTTGCAGTATGTATTTAATTTAAGTCAGTGATTTAATCTAGGTCTTTTTGGTGATGCTTATTCCCCTTTTCTCTTGTCACTAATGTCCAGGGAGTCACAGATGTCCTGTGTGAAGCCTGTGACCAGTTAGGATGGAAGGTGCCAACGAAGATCCAAATTGAGGCTATTCCAGTGGCTCTCCAAGGTGAGCAGTGTATTTCTTTGATCCTGAGCTCGGGACTGATCCAGGAGCTCAGTGTGAATGAATTTTGCTGAGTAAGAAGGATCAAGATTGAGTGTGTCCCAACTTCTTCATTGCTGAGGATCTCTGTCTGGAAGTAGTTTTCATATTCATTCTGTGTCCTTCCCAGGTGGAGCTTGGAATGCTAGTTTATCCTATGACCCTGCCTGCAGCCACAAAGTTTCAAATGGGTACATACATTGTTCCTTGAGTGTTCACTCCTGTTGTGTAGTTCTGATGCTCCATTTTAAATAAAATTCCTATTAATCATTTGAACTGTTAGTCCACATTGATCATTTTAGTCCTGAAATACTCAGGGATACACAGGAAGCTTCCAATAGGTTTTGGACTGTGCTGCTTGTGATAGAGACCTACAGAGTGTGTGTGTGTGTGTGACTGAAAGTGAAGATGCCTTGACTGATTCCTTAATTATGTATCATTTGCTTTGCTGTGAGCAGGCAACTCTTTGAAATTAGATTTCTGAAGTGAGTAATAACCAAACCACAGTGACTTTCTGTTAGCATTCTGGAATTACAAAAAAATAAAATACTGAATTCAGCAGACATTTCTGCCTCTAGATTTTATTTTTTTTTTTTTAACAAGACCCCCCAAAACGCTCTCAAGGAGGAAAGGAACAACATAGTGACAGAATGGGAACAAACTTTCAGTGTCTTCTCTGTCCTAGCATTTAACTTCTGTCAGACTCTTTTACACATATAAGATTCTCTTGGGAAAAAAAAAAAAAAAAAACAACAAAAAACCAAACACAAAAGAAAGACTGCATGCCTGAGGAATTGTTTCCAGTGTAAGGTGTGTTGACAGCATGTTCTTCTCAGCTGCATGAGCTTGGGAGGTCATAATGGATTCTATTGATGAATTCCACCCTGTTGCCTGCATTGATTTGGGGTAAAAGACTTTCTGTCCTACCCTTCCTACTGAAGGAACTGGTTTAGATTACCCTGTTAATCAATGGCACAATTGTGCCTTGTGAAATGTGAGCCTGGTAGTGCTGTTGTCCTGTAGTTTGTATGGCTGAAGTCTCAAACACCACAGTCTGTTTCCTTGTAAGCCACTAAACAGACAACATTTGGACTAGAATAGTGAGGTGGAGTCATTAAGCTGTAAACTGATGTCAGGCTTGAGATATCATAAAGTACAAATTATTTTGAACCTAAGGTTTGTATGAAACCCTGTATGTTAACATAAGTTAACTAGAAAATTTACTATTGAGACTGTAATCATTGTACAGATAAATCACAGCCTAAAAATGCTTCAGAGAGATTCTGAGATTCTTTGGTTTGGCCCTTCGTGGTTGGTTTGTTTTTCCCTTCTGTGTGTCTTTGCCTTTTTTCCTGTCTTGAGGGAATTCTTGTATTTTGTAACACAGTGCTTTAAAGGCTCCTTTCTCTATTGTGGATGTATAACAGTTTTTTCCCCCCTTGCTCCTTCTCTCAGGCAGGGATGTCATTGGACTGGCAGAAACTGGCTCTGGGAAAACAGGAGCCTTTGCTTTGCCAATTCTCCAAGCCCTTCTGGAAACACCTCAGCGATTATTTGCTCTTGTGCTCACACCAACAAGGGAGCTGGCCTTTCAAATCTCAGAGCAGTTTGAAGCTCTGGGGTCCTCCATTGGTGTTCAAAGCAGTAAGTGACTTTTACGGTATTGCACCCGTTTTTCTGAAGGCCGGTTTGTCAGCTCGAGATTGCAAAGATAAAAATGGAGGATTTGTATAAGGGGTTGAACAAAATGTGAGAAAAGCTTACGCTGCTGGAAGACAGAGATCTGGTATCAGCTTTGAGAAGAAAAGACTGTGTGGTCTTTCCTCATGGAGTGGTCTGCAGCTCTTCTGCATTCTGTGTCTAAATAGTTAAATGTGGAAGTAGAGGAGAGTGTTCCGAGAGTTGGTGTGTGTCCAGTGAAATTGCATAGAGCTCCCTCCTATGGTGTGATGTCGTTTAATCTTCCTTTCAGACTGTTGTATTGATTCTTTGGATAATCTCTCAAAAAATGCTTTGTGGGTATTTTTAGAATTCCTCGATTTTTGCAGTTGAGTTAAACTGAAAGGAATAGATTCTGTCTGTAGCTCTGCAGCTGTGAAAATAAAATACTTGTGGCAAATAAGGAATTAATTGCATGGCTTAAGAAGCCTAGGAAGATCAGATATGCTAAAATAAAGTAAATTCTCATAAAAAGAAGTAACTTTTCATTTGTACAGAATTGCTGTGGATGGTGGGCAGTCAGAGTGAACACTGCAGTGCCTGGGGTGGGCTGGTGCTACACTGAGGGATTCACTCCCCTCTCTTTGTCCTGCAGCGGTTATTGTGGGTGGAATTGACACGATGTCTCAGTCTCTGGCCTTAGCCAAGAAACCACATGTTATAATTGGTAAGTTGATGTGCTGGGGATGTGGAGTGTGACTATTATCAAACTGCAGCTAACCAAAGGAAGGAGAGTACATCCTTCATTTGTGTTTTGTCCCAGCTCTGAGTACTGGCTTGTTAATGTTTCTAAAGTATCGACCAGTAACTTTGTTGCTACAAGCTTGTTCCAAAGCATTCCTGCTAGACCTGGAGTGCTTTTGGCTTATTTTTTCATTCTCGAGTATTTGAAATGCTGCTCTCATCTTTTGCAGTACAGCTTGTCTGCGGTCTTTTTTGTGTCACTTCTTTTTAGGACATTCTTCAGAGAGTCTGACTCCATTAGTCTTATTTCAAAACACCCTCTGAAGATACCCTATGAAAGAGTTATTCCCACAAAGCAATCTTTACTTTTCCTGGGCAAAGAATCCTGTTTCTGTAATGGACAGCTGTCTTGCCTGTTTGGATCTTTTCCTCTGCTTTCATTCTGAATTTGCTCTTGTTGTGCTGTTGGTAGCAACCCCTGGCCGTCTGGTTGATCATCTGGAGAACACAAAGGGCTTCAACTTACGAGCTCTGAAGTTCCTGGTGATGGATGAGGCTGACCGGATCCTTAACATGGATTTCGAGACCGAGGTGGGGATGTGCTGAAAGATCAGTTTGGAATGTTGGATGAGTCCCTTTGAAATCGCATCATACACGGGAAACACTGAGCTGTCTTGTAGAAATTAGTAGTGAATTGTAACTAAAATCTAACAATTACAGACAAATCGGTGGTGGGATTAGAACATAGCAGAGTTCTGCAGAGCACTGCCAAGACAGTAGGAGGCACTCTCAAATCCACTAGTGTCTCTGGAGTGCCTGACATAGAATGTAGTTAGGGTAGAAAACCATCACAGACACATTCCTGCAGAAACATTGCCTGATGTTTGCACTGTTGTTGGACTTTTGGAGTTCACACTGCCTAATTGTCAACAAGATATCAGCCTACACCTTTCCTCTAGAAGAAAAAAAAAATTGTTCCTACTGTATGTTTGCATATGCATTAGTCTTCATGTGGATGATCTTTATATTTGTGGAAAGTTTGTGTCTTGCTTGCTTGTAGTGTTTAGTATTTCCATTTCCTTATTTTTTTACAGGTGGATAAGATATTAAAAGTGATTCCTCGAGATAGGAAGACATTCCTATTTTCTGCCACCATGACCAAGAAGGTGGGAGCACACTAAATCTGTTTTAGTTCTCCTTCTATCAGGCTATCCTTTTGACTAGCCTGTATTAATACAATTTTCTGGCAAGATCTCTGTCCAAGTAAATTTCATTGATGTTACCAGGTTCAAAAACTCCAGCGTGCTGCTCTGAAGAATCCTGTTAAATGTGCTGTTTCTTCCAAGTATCAGACAGTTGAAAAACTACAGCAATACTATATTTTCATCCCCTCCAAATTCAAGGTAATGGCACTTCTGTTTCTTCTTTCTTTCTGTCTTTTCTTGCTCCCACAACTGTCCAATATATTTTCATTTTCTGAGTCCTAGACTTAATGTTGCACATGTGATTATCTCTGGGGTTTTTTGAATTCTCCCTCTGTTTCTTTACAGGACAGCTACCTGGTTTATATCTTGAATGAACTGGCTGGTAACTCTTTCATGATATTCTGCAGTACATGTAACAATACTCAGAGGACTGCTCTGCTGCTCCGCAACCTGGGCTTCACTGCCATTCCCCTGCATGGGCAGATGAGTCAGGTATGGGCAGGAACCCTCACAACAGAGTGGGCAGGGGGCCTGGGTCTTGGGAAATGGCTGCACCATACTGAGTCATACCTGCCTTGCAGGAGGAGTATTTCACAGCTAGAGGACTGGACTAGAAATTTATAGAAATCCATAGAAATTTAACTAATGTGAATGCTGACACTGGTTCTGTAGTATTTAAGAAAGAAACTAGAGAAGTGAAATTTTTGAGTAGTTTCCCCCCTAGTTCTTCTGTGCCAGTATCTTATCAAGAGCATGTTAACTAGAAACTAGAATGAGTGTTATTCTCTCATTCTCTTTTTTTCCTTTATCCAGAATAAACGTTTGGGCTCTCTGAACAAGTTCAAGGCAAAGGCACGTTCTATTCTCCTGGCTACTGATGTTGCAAGCAGAGGTCTGGACATCCCACATGTGGATGTGGTGATAAACTTTGATATTCCTACACACTCTAAGGTAAGCCTGTTTGTGTGCCAGCTGAGAGCTTCTGGTCACTGGGAGCACATAGAAAAAGAAGGTGGACAAAGGAACAGAGACATCTTTTCTCTCTTCTGCTGGCTGAAAGCCTAATTCATGATTCTGTACATTGAAAGGGATAGTTCAGCCTTTGCTATTGAGTTGGTATCTCTGTTTGCATGGTCTCATGGCCTGGGTTGTAGAAGTGATCCTGTAAGTGAAGAGGGGAAGTAAGGAATGCTCTGTGCCTTTGCATTTCTGCTCAGACTGTATGTTTTGCCTTTTTACATTCAAGGGCTTTGAAAACAATTTTAACATATTACTAGTTTCATGTAGTCATCTCTGTGATCGAGGTTTGCCTTCGTGTTTTAAACTGTGTTTAAAAAAAAGAAAAAAAATTAAGTTCTCTGATGATTGGTTAAGAAAGGTGTCCTTAATATGTCTCACCTTCATACAACAACAGTACAGCAGAAGGAAATGAAAGTAAGTTACCAGCTCTCTGTATGGAAAGTATGGGGTTATCTCAGGGATGTGACTGTTTCCCAGCTTAATTCCAGAAAACATACCATTAACCTGCACTTCAGGAATTGCTATTGTTGCTTACAATGATTAAAGATACTGTGCCTTGCAAACAGGAGAAAGCATAGTAGGTCTTTTGAAGACACTCCTTTTGTAAAAGCACAAAAGTAAGAAAAAAAACTGTGGGGGTGGCAGCTTGAATGGTGTTATTATGGTCTTTGTGCTCTTCTTTCTCATCTAACTCATAGAACAGATCCTTTCTTACAGTCCTTTCTCTGCAAATCCTCTATGGAGAAGGGAGTATTTTAATTTCCATAATGTAGTATCAAACCTGGAAAACAGCCTTGAACCATATTGACCAAAGATGCTCAATAGACTCTTCTAAATTATTCTCAATCATCCTCTCTTTCACCATGCTTACCAAGTTCAAGTCTACTTGTCAGAGGGTTTCCCTGGAAGATGCACTATGGAGAGCACTAGATTCCAAGACTGAAAATGCAGGCATAGGTTCACTGTGAATATTAGCTTTCCAAGGAAGTGAGAGTGGAGTCTTGGCAACAGTCATGTATTGCAACTTTTATCCTGCAGTCTGGAATAATTGAATTTGGTCTTCTCATTTAAAAAGAGAAGAATTCAAGTGTTCAAACTGAATTTGTGCCTCCACTTAGGCCTCTTCTCAAATCTGATGCTGCACACCCTCCTGAGCAGTTAATGCTAGCAGTGTGTTCTTGACATTCTCTTGTTCTTTCCTAAAGAGAAAATATATAGGCTGATCTGCCATAAGATCTGTTCTGTGTTTGGTGAACATATATTATTGCTTATCAAGAAAATTCTTTCCAGGATTACATTCACCGTGTTGGGAGAACAGCTCGAGCTGGGAGATCTGGCAAATCTATCACCTTTGTCACACAGTAAGTGATAAAATTTAACAGACTTATTCTTTCCAGCTGTGTTTCAGAGCAGAAAATATCTGACCTTATCCTGAGTGAGAATACAATACTACTTTTCATTTTGAAGTGCCAATTGGTTTTATTTAAAGGGGAGAGAATTCAAAGCCTAGAGTGGGGAGGGAGGAAAGTAAAAAAAATTCTGGAAGCAGGCATTCATTGAGCAGAACAGTTTATAACTGGAAACTGGACTATACAATATATATATTCTTTAAATATATAATGTAGGTTAAGTAACTTTGAGGGTGTTTTATAAACACTGAACTATTTGTCTAAAAAGAAAATCTTTACCAAATACTTCTGAACAAAGATGAGATGAGCTGGATAAATCAGAGAAGCCATGCCAAAAGGCATCATGTGGGTGCAGCTGAGCTGCTTGTGAGACCATCAGCACAAACTAACAGTATCTGTGGGCTGGAGACGAGGGCTGAAGACTGTGAGTGGTGACAGCTGAGGCCCTCTCAGCAGGGCTGATTCAGGCTGGTGCCCTGTCTTCCCTCAGGTATGATGTAGAGCTGTTCCAGCGCATTGAACACCTGATTGGCAAGAAGCTGCCAGCATTCCCCATGCAAGAGGAAGAAGTTATGATGCTGACAGAGCGTGTGGCTGAGGCCCAGAGGTTTGCTCGAATGGTGGGTGCTGGCTTTTTGACCCTGTTCCCTCTGTTGTATTCTGAATTTCTTCAGACCAAGCCCTGGGTCAATGTGTCGATTGCATTGCAGGAGCTGCGGGAGCAGGGAGAGAAGAAGCGATCTCGGAACGATGATGATGACACAGAAGAGGCTATTGGTGTCAGGAATAAGGTGGCAGGAGGGAAAAAGAAGAAAAGGAAAGCCTAGTTTGGTATTTGAACAAACTCTTTTATTTTTCTCTTTATGGCTATCTGAGCTATCAAAAACAGTGCACCAAGCCATCTCCAGTGGATTTTTTTTCAGAACTACATAGGAAATTTGGCAGTCCCTGCTCATTCACTCTGAAGTGCAGTGTGAGTGCACCTTTTCCACTGCTGCAGCCTGTCCCACTATCCAATCTCTCTGAGTGCATCTGGAGTCAGATCTGTCAGAAGAAAGAGGAAAAAGTTAAAAAGAAGTGACTGAGTTTTCACAGCATAGCTGTGATGCCCTTGCTTTGGAGAACGGATGTGTTACATTGAGAACTCAAAATGTATTTTGCCTAATTTTAAAGCTACATGGTTTTCCTTGTCTTGTCACTGACTGTTCTATTCACTTTGTGTATCATCTCTGCCAGAAGGTTTTCTTCTTGGGTCAATCCTGGCAATTCAGATGTGACATCAATACCTTAGATTTGTCAGCTGAGGAGCAGTCCAGCACAGAGAACAAGCTTCAGCAGGATGAAACATTCACTGCCTGGAATTCCATCCAATACCTGCTAATGATTGACACCATCAAGGATAGGTCTGGGTTTTGGGTGGGGTTTTTGTGGCGGATTCTCATAATACTTACAAGTGAACACAAGAGGGAGGTATTTACGTGGGAAAGCAACTCAAAGCTGAGAGGTGCAGAGAAACAAGTATCCTGGAAAGCTCTTTGTTTCCTTGGGCAGGGAATTTTTTTACTCTTAGGCAGAGTTCCATGCCAGACAAGTAGACTTTTGCAAGAAAGAGATAAGTGTACTTGATACAAAGCCAGAAGGTTACTGCTAGTTCTCATTGACAATAAAAATTTTCATACAGGATATTCCTGCTGGTAGGCAGAGTGAGGAGCTCCTGCATATGTAAATTTACTGAAAACATAATGTCCAGTATTCATAAACTGGATTTTGTGCTACATGAAAAACAACGTTCAAAGTAGTCCTTTTTAGATCTAAATGGAAAGTAGAAACTATTGCAGTAGTCAAGATGAGCACAGTGGTTATTTCACACTGTCGGCATAAATCTAGTATCTACATGTATGCTAGTCAGAATGCTTTTACGCTTTTGTTAGGGGCAGCATGTTCTGCAAAGAAATGCCAGAAAACCTAGGTCTGTTTTTTCATGAGCTACTGAGATACTCTTTGGAGTAAAAACAGTGACAGTGTTCTCACTCTTTATTTATGATGTAGCAGTTTACTTAAATGTCCCAAACATCTTCAAGTCTGCTAGCTCTAAAATGGTCTTGAGTAAGTGGCAGATTGTAAGTTTACAAATCTTGGGTATGTTCACTGCTAAGAGCCTTTTCCGTAAAGGATAATGAGTGTTTATCTTCCCTGGGTCTTAGCATGTCACAGACATCTTTTGTGAAAAATCCTTTCTTTAGGATTTTCCCTCTTCTGGGAAGATGAGGCCCCAGAAAGAGACTGTAAACAATGGTTGTCTGCTGCTGTGGAATACAACAGGTGCACCTGTGATTGGTCCATGTTTACAATTAAGGGCCAATCAGAGACTGAGCTCTCTCTGGGACAGAATCAGAGAGAGCTCTCTTGTTTATTCATTCCTATGCTATTCTTAGCTTAGCAGCTTCTGAACTTCTCTCTCTATTCCTGTTAGTATAGTCTTAATGTAGTATATATCATAAATTAATAAATCAGCCTTCTGATCATGAGATCAAGATTCTCGTCTCTCTCTTCACCCCTGAAGATCCTTGCAAGCCTTGTAACAACTGGTGACCCCTCGTTGTAAGGACAAAAATTAATTTGATAAGACCCCAGAGGAGCAAGAGCTGCACCCAGGGTAAACCCCGAATGTGCAGCATTGATGGTTGCTTTACAAGTGACCACAGAAGTGGATTCAAGCCAGGAGCTGAAGAACTGAAGATCCTGATTTGGACACAGTTCACACCCAAGGCTGACCACAAAGTGAACCTGAAAAACCTCTGGGAAGATGTTCGGAAAGAGCAGCAGAACCGTGGAGCTGGCCAGAGCATGCTGGGCTCTTTCAAAAGGTACTGTTGGCTTTTC